TGTTTTTTATTTATTATTTTCTTTCTTCTGTCTGGTAGTTGTTTGTTTGTATATTTATTTCTTTTTATGTTTTGATGTTTTTATTTGAAATTAATTAAATAAACAGACAACCATCATATCTTTGTTTGTTTTCTTCGTCTCTTTTACTCATTAATTGTTTTAAATATTCTTTTTCTGTTTATTATTTTAATTTATTTCTTGTTGTTTAGTTATTTTGTTTTATCTGCAAGCTTTAGAAATTATTACTTCTGCTGTATGCATGCACTCAAATATATAATAAATTCAAAATAAATTAATAATTTTATTTTAGTTTTTTAAATTCTTCTTCTTTGATTTCTCTTGACTTCCAGCGAATGCTGGCGTCGTGAATTTGTTTCTTTTGTTTGTCGGCTTATTTGTTTATTTGTTTATTTTTATTTATTTATCTTATTTATTTTATTTGTTGCTTGTTTATTCTACTTAGTCGGTTTGTTTATTAATACTCATTTATTTATTCTTTTGTTTGTTTATATACGAGCGTTTCTTTCGTTTGTTTTTTGTATTCACTCATCTATTTTTTTGTCAATTAACTAATTCTTTTTACTTACATAATTAATTAATTAATTAATTAATTAATTTATTTGTTTCTTCTATTTGTTTGTCTGTTTACTCCTCGCCAAAGCAATTAGCAAATAATCAACCACTTATAATCTAATCAATTTATATTAATTTATATTTTATATATTTACACTTATTTATTTACACTTATCTATTTGTTTATATTTATATTTATTTATCTTTATTTATTTTAGGTTGGGTGGTTGATCAAGAAAGAAATACAAAAAAATATTCGCTGGCGAGTCGACGGGTCGACGTTTCAAACACCGCGATGTGCAGCAAATACCTCTTGGGATCATCCTTTATCTATTTCTTTAAAGAAATATAATTAATTAATTAATTAATTATATTAATTAATTAATTAATTTAATTCAATTCAATTAGCTGATTATTTATATATAAATATATTACCCTTGGGTTTATCTTTCGATGTGCAGCAGATACATCACCCTTTATCTATTTCTTTAAAGAAATATAATTAATTAATTAATTAAATTAAATAAAAAAATAAATAAATCCAATAATTAAATTAATTAAATTAATTAATTAATTATGAAGAAATAAATAAATAGGGCAGGCAGGATATACAAACAAACAAACAAACAAACAAACAAACAACAAATAAATAAATAAATTAAAAGCAAACAAATAAATAAAAAACAAACAAAGAGAAAACAAACAAATTAATAAACAAATAAACAAAATTAAAAACTTCTTTATTTTTCAATCCTCTTCAGCCATCGCAGCAGCGCCGCACAAAATAATTTACAGGGGTTTGCGAAACCCTAAACCCTAAACCCTAAACCCTTATTGAAGTTTGTCTCTCTCTCTCTCTCTCTCTCTCTCTCATCGCAATTGTCGCTACTATAAGAAGAAGAAGCAGCAAAACAAAAGTAAAGAGAAGTGTGAAGAGATGTTTTACTTGTTATGTTTAATTTAAAAAAATAAAATAATAATTATTAAAATATATCATCCACTATTATATTATTATGGTGAAGAAAATTCTTCTCTAAATGCATGCATTATATAATAATAAATTATATAATTAATATAATTTATTATATTATGATGCATGCATTTAATTGTTGTTTAAATAATTAAACAAAAAACATAAAACCAGACTTCTTTTATTTTTATTTTGCTGCTTCTTCTTATCATTTGCCGGATAGAAAAAAGAACAACAATATTATTTTCAATTACATTTAAATTATAATTAAAAATAAAATAATATACTTTTAGTTAATCTTTTAATTATATTTGTTTTATTTCATAGATGTATATTGCGAGACTGCTTCCCTCAGCTTCTGCTGCTTCTATTGCTGCTGCTGTTGCTGCTGCTGCTGCTTTTGTTCCTTTTGCTGCTGCTGCTGCTGCTGTT